GACTCTCTGATTTCATTTATTGAGTTAGATGGAATGCACCGCTTCAAAGACGATCCTGAATGGGGCAACGCTGTTTAAGATTCCGTGAAGGGCGACCAACAGAAGAAGATATTGAGACCATCAATGACGCCTGCGTGGTTGCCCAACCCATGTTCCACCAGAGAACATTAAAGTTGCTACTTATCTGATTCGAGATCGAGATGCCATTAACTCAGCTATCTTCGAAGAATTTGCGGGAAGAACAAACCTGCTGATGATTCGGTGCTGATGGATGCAGTACTCATTTTCATGGACGATCTTCAAATGGCCAATCAAGCAGGGACACTGGTTCTTGTTAAGAGCAATTCGGTTTAAAGCACTTCTTTTCAAAATGTGGAGAAGACTCGTTAAACCCGGTTCGGACTCACAAAAACGTGTTGATCCTGCTTTGAAGTTATATAAGGGGTGTCCTGTAATGTTTACAGAGAACACGAAGTTCCGAATGGAGAAGCCAATGGATCTCGGCTTTTTGTGAGAAAGGTGAATGTGAGGCATGGTTGCACCCCATGGTTATTCAACTCGACAACGGCTGCAAGTTCGGGCTTTTTTCTCAGGTCAAGTCAAACTATCCTTGTGGAACATGAAATGGAGACTATTATGCCACATATTTTTATGTAACGGAGCAAGAACTACACTTTCAGTACCAGATGGTTTTATGACGGAGAAGTTGTACACACCAAGATGAAGGGTAAGCAGTTCCCGATTATCAGAATTCTGCGACAACTGGAACAAATTACAGGGATATATGCAGTTGGTTATTGGTACATTCATGCGATACTGTCAAAACTGGGCTTACGTGGTGTTATCAAGGGTGCGAACCATGAGGTTTGTTCTTATTGAAGAGCTGGATTGGGATCCAAGAACTTTGCCATGCCACACGAATGAGAGACATGCTTGCAAGATTTAAGGTACTATTGGGCTTTCTGTCCTAGGAGAAGATCAATACGATGAAATGTTCCAGCGAGAGACGGGTTCTTGTTATAAGTATAAACGTAGGGATATAGGGTAAATAATCTGTATATAAAAACTTTTTTTACTACAACTACCTTTCTGAGATTCGCATTGCACCTCGTACGTCATTCAATGTCAGTCATTGAAAAAAGATCAAGCGTCCAATCAAATCACAGGCGACCCCGAAAAATTAGGAGCAACTTTTAAAATGTGAGAACGCAAGGCGACTTTCATGTGCATGTACATGCGTTGACTGTATCCCGTCAATACAATACTAGTCGAATACGTAGACTTCTACAGGGCCTTCTAAGTAATGCGCGCCGGGTATAATTCAAACCTCTGCCCCCATCGGTACCATTACCCCTAAAGCAAATCGTCTCCAGGAGACGAAATTTGATTGGTCAAATCATTTACCGTGTTCAACTGGACACACTATTGATAGCAAGTCTCCATAGCCAGCCAGTACGGGCACAGTGGTATCGGTACCCATGGGTCCAGAGTACTGTGTCCAACAGAACACACAATATAAATCCCTATCCTTAACAACTTTATGACGGACATACAGACTAACTTGCACACATACTCTGGTACTCGGAGTATGTTTTACCTGCTAACAATTATTATTTACCCCATCCTTTATGGCGGACGTACATACTAACTTGCACACACACATAGTTTGGTACTCGGAGTATATTTTACCAACTAACAATTATTATTTACCCCATCCTTTATGCCGGACGTACAGACTAACTTGCACATACAGGGATAAAGAACAAGCAGCCGGAGGCTGATGCCCTCAACTGTCAAAAAGAGATTTGATTGGATTCCCCAATCGAATCCTTAACATCTTTGGTCAAATCCTTTACCGTGTTCAACTGGACACACTAGCAAGTCTCCATAGCCAGCCAGTAAGGGTCCAAAGTACTGTGTCCAACAGAACACACAATATCAATCCCTATCCTTAACAAGGAAAATGTCACTTATGTCTTTGGCAAAACTTACACCGTGTTTATCTGGACACACTAGTGAGTCTGCATAGCCAGCCAGAACTGGTACCCATATGTTGAAACTACTGTGTCCAGCTGAACACACAATATTAATCCCTATCCTTAACGAGGAAAGTGTCCCCTATGTGACCAAAACAGCTGCAACAAACACACAAACACACACACAGCACTCAACGTACACACACCTACACACACACACATACACATACAGGGATAAAGAACAAGCAGCCGGAGGCTGATGCCCTCAACTGTCAAAAAGAGATTTGATTGGATTCCCCAATCGAATCCTTAACATCTTTGGTCAAATCCTTTACCGTGTTCAACTGGACACACTAGCAAGTCTCCATAGCCAGTCAGTAAGGGTCCAAAGTACTGTGTCCAACAGAACACACAATATCAATCCCTATCCTTAACAAGGAAAATGTCACTTATGTCTTTGGCAAAACTTACACCGTGTTTATCTGGACACACTAGTGAGTCTGCATAGCCAGCCAGAACTGTACCCATATGTTGAAACTACTGTGTCCAGCTGAACACACAATATTAATCCCTATCCTTAACGAGGAAAGTGTCCCCTATGTGACCAAAACACTGCAACAAACACACAAACACACACACACACACACACACACACACACACACACCACACACACAACACATACGCGATAAAAGTGTGAAAGACCCTCAGTCCGTTGAGGGCAAAAAGTGTGAAAGACCCTCAGTCCGTTGAGGGCAAAGTGTGAAAGACCCTCAGTCGGTTGAGGGCAATGAAGCCTGTGTTTCTCCCAAATCCACGATATGTTTCCACGGCCATGTGCGTGGGCAAATTCCAACCGTGTTTTCTTAAAAAAAGAATGCCATGCGCGTCTCAGTACACCTGGTAGTACGGTATTAGTACCCGTACCCGTACCGGTACCGGTTGTCAAAAACGATAGCGAAGCTCAAAACTTGGGTATTAATAGTGTTTTTGATTTCGATGCAATTCTTGAACTTGGGAAAGACCAGTCAGCACAGAAGCAGATGCATGCTTTTTCAACATCGACCGTGACGACAATCATCCGAGACAATAACTGAAACTTGAGCGTGGGAAGAACCGCGGCAGCCCGAGAACTACCTACATGCACAGCACGAGAGTACAGTACTATCTTTTGTGGAGATGATTTGAAGTTCTTCTTCTGAGAAACGTACGATAAACATGCATCTTCAATAAAAGTGAAATGCTGTTGCTCTCCAAGTCAGAACATTGTGCTCTAAGCCGCGGTTGCAGTATCAGCTCCTCCAACAGGTAGTCGAGACGGTTGGCCAACGATTCCATTGTACTCTTTGCCGTAGTAACATCCCAAATATTCACTGATTGGGTTTGATTTACGTGCAGGGTCCTCTCCCATGTCCTCCAGTAGCTGGTCATAGTAATGTATCTGGTGGAGCAAAACCAATCCCGACCGAGCGCTTGTCGAAGGCATCCAAGAACGCGCAAAGTCACGAAAAGCACTGACTTCGAGAGCAATTGCCTCTTCGCTAAGATCGGCATTGGTCTCACCAGCAAGCGTACGTGCGAGCCATTCTGCTTGAAGGCCAGATGCAGTGCAATTGAAGATGGTTGCAGCTTCAGAGCCAACAAAAGCGAGATGTGGGACCTGAGGTGGAAGCATTCGTTTGTAAAGGTAGAGTCCGTCTTTCTGTGCATCCAAGCCCTTCACAATGTCTGCTTCAAAGATCCTCGAGTAGTCCTTCGTAAAACCAGTTGCAAAGATAACCTTGTCTGCCTCGATGTCTTCTCCATTCAAGCGTACTCCTTCTGGTGTGAATGATTCTATTTCTCCAAGCTTGACATCGACACGGCCAGCGCTGCGCAACCTTGTGAAGGTTCCATCTTGCACCGCGGCGAACCCATAAAAGTCTTCAACGACTCCGGCTTTGGGTCGCAGACCACCCTTCATACCAAACTGCATAGCAAAAATCTGCTCCACAAGTGCGAATATCGGCCCCATGACAGGGTTGAACATAGACGCAATGGACTTGCTGCCAGGGTACACTCCCGCTTTGGCTTCCACGAGAGCCTGGCCTAATCGACTGAGGAATACATGGTGAAAGGGAATCAGGCCTGCAATGTGCAGAGGGGTTGGCCAGTGAGCCCTACGCTGTATCATGGTAACAGACTCGGCTCCAGCGTTAGCGGCGCTTGTGGCACAATCTGTAGCGCTCTTGCCGCCACCAATGACAACCACGCGCTTTCCCTTTGCAGATTCCGCATGCCTAAACTCGCTACTGTGGATTGCTGATCCTTCAAAGGCGTCTTTGTTGGGTACTTCCGGGACAAAGGGATAGGTAGAATACATTCCAGTGGAAACAACGCAGTAATCAAAAGCGTGCTCCTTGCCGGTATCAGTTTGAAAGACCCAGGTTCCATCGGCATTGCTGGATACCGTTTCGATTGCAGTGTTGAGCTCCACCGCTCTGTTCAGATCAAACTTGTCGGCGAATCTCTTGATGTAGGCTTGCACCTGAGGTCCTGATGCCACTTCACCCCATTTGGCTTCCTCCATTTCTAGATCTGGCAACTCGTACAGTTGCTTCGGTACTTGCAGCCCAAAATTGGCATAATTTTCTCTCCAAAGGCCGCCCACTTCATTGGCTTTGTCGAATGCGGTGACGTCGTAGCCTCGTGCACGCATGGATCGAATGACCTGCAGACCGGCGACACCACATCCAATCACACCAATTCGTTTCCCTGGTTCAAGTCTATCAGAATGCTTGGCAGTGCTGGTTGTTGTGGAGAAGGTTCTCGCCCCCGTAGGTACAAAGTTCTGGGCTCTCTTTGCAGTCAGACCCATTTTGCCAATGGCGGCTCTTACAATATCGTATCCTTCTTGCCTTGGTTTGGCCCATGAGCGACGAATGCCCTCCAGCTTCATTACTGGCTCCTGGGCTGGATCGCTCATATCCATCCCATGCAACCCTTTGTAGAAGGAGTCGAGTTTGCAAGATTCTGTCGTGGACAGCAAGGCATCAAACTGACAGTGATCAAATTTGGGGATGGAGACATCTTCCAAGACAGAGGCATTCTTTAGTAGCCTGTCTGCCTTTACCGAGTCAAGCTGGCCGTGGATGGCGCGATCCCACATCATCCGAGACAAGATTGCTCCCTGGAACTGGTTGTCATCCGATGCCAAGGCCTCGAGAGCTTTGACCTCTCCCAAAGCCGTGTCTCCGTGCTTTCCAATATCTTCATTTTGGGCTTGGACCGATACCTCCAATTTCTGGTTGGATTGGAGATGGAACAGAGGAATGACATGAGCCTGTGGGGAATCCTGGGCCCCCGAAAGCAACTGTGCGCCTTGCAACTCTTGTTGGCTTTTGATTCCACTCTCTTTTGTCACCACCACAATGCTCTCAAAATCACAGTCCACATCTCTCATGCCAAGGGACACAATCGGTTCTTTGGCGTGTGCTTCGCAGAGAACATGAGCCAGAGGTCCGTTCCAAGCCATGTCAATATCCTGATCGAGCAGAGCCCGTACTTGTTGCTCATAATTGCTAAAGAGCACAAAATCAAAGCCCGGGACACCACCCGCCGAGCGCAGATAGTGGCGCATCATGGACCAAATCGACCCGACCGCTGGATCGTACGAAACACAACCCAAGAGGACCGACTCGTCTCGATTGGGTAGGACAAATGGATGTTGGGTAGCAACGGTGCTACCACAGCGACTTGCGGAAGCAACCAAAGAAGAAGTCCTGGTGATCCATCGTCGTCCCCCCGTAGCGTGCGATCGTAGATTACAAATCAACATCGTTGCTTTCTCTCTTCCTCAGCCGACCCAGAGAAATACACAACACTTGCTAGCTACGATACTGTACCGTCGAGCTAGAGTTGGTTTTTGTCTTTTTGGAGGGAGGGAGAAGTGCCGATACAATGGACATGGATCCTTGCATTCCACGTGAGGCTGAGAAAGATCCAACAGGAGTGAGCATGGCTTGGAATTTGAATGCTTTCTGGCCACGTGATGCAGGTTTTTCAGAGACAAGTGGTGGAGGGCTGGAAGCGAAAGAAAGAATGTTCAAGCAGCCTGTGCTGGCCCTTACTCGAGTTTCAAGGAGTTTCAAGGAGTTTCACACATTGATTAATAGTTTTTATATCTAAGTGTACTATTGCGCCGAAGGCTGTTGCTTTTGTTTCACTCCTTCGACACCTGGCACTATTGGCACAGGTGAAGGAGTAGAAGTGGTTACTCGAGTCATGACGTGTGCTGTTCAGCTGTTCCCAAGCTCTTTCTTCCGCATCGGGGTGGTTCTTTTTCCGGGTGGGAGGCTACAGGACGCAGCGCAAAAGGCTGACCAACATAAGAACAAAGAAGACATCAAAATGGACCAAGAAGTTGATGAATCCAGCACCGAGGAAGATGAATCAATCTTGCACATAGTAGAGCGCATAAGTAACGGTACATATATGGATGTGGAGCTTGCGAAGCTTGCAAAGCTCAGGTCCTATCCTGTGTCACAGGCCGATACGGCGTCCTCTTTCCAGGAGGCATCCCAAGAGCTTAGTGGCTCAGTATTGTCCCCTTCCAGTAATCCAAACGTCCATTGTGGTGGACAGAATCAAGTAGATAAAGCATCGTCAACCACTGCTGATTCGACCAGTGTTGATGCGGTAGCTCAAATGATGCTCAATGATCGATTCATTGTGGGTAGTGTTGGAGATGTGTTTACACTTGTGGCTTAGATAAATTATGACAGCTATTTAGGTTCTATTCCCATAGGTAGCCTTCTGTTTCAGCCTTCTGTTTCATACTGGGTGAGTATGGCATACCTGTAGTTGTACACAGTAACACAGCATAACTGGAACACTGGTACTCAACCTGAACTCCACAATCATAGCATCATAGCCTCTGTCATGAATACCAGCCTATAACACCATCTTCCAGTGGCTTTAATTGCTCTCCTTTGATTGCCTATAACACCCTGCTTTCTCCACTAGACTGAACCATTCACTCTTCTTCTTGACTCTTCTTCTTGACATGTAACAATGTAGATTCACTTTGGATTTATTCCCTCTTCTGCTTTCATTCCCCTCTTCAACCTCTAGAAATGTAGGCAGCCTTGGGCTCTTCCTAACTCAGTATTTCAAATCCTGCACTGATTTCTTCGATTGTTGCTTCTTTCTCGTAGGAAGCTACGAACCAACTTGGTTTCTTCTTCTTGTTGATTGGATTGTCCCAACAGTTTGCTTCGATATGACCTTGTCTGCCACATCTCTCGCACCCTTCATCAAACTTGCATTGGAAAGACAATAACATTTCATTCTCTTCATCACTGCTGTCCTTCCTGGCTCCACTCATCAGGCATTTTCCTTCCGTCATTCTCCAGTGCTGATGCATGACATCACATAGGTCTTGCAGTTTCAGGTTGGCACCTTTGACATGCTGCTCTGCGGCAATGATAGACTGGTACTGCTCTGGTGCTGCTGAAATGACAGCTGATATGAGCTCTGACTGGTTGATCTTGGTCTGCTTGACTGGATCCCAGAATTGACATTCAATTTCACTGACTCTGTTGAATAGGACAACTGGATCTTCTTTCTTCTTCATGGACAATGCTGACAGTTGCAAACGGAGTTCCACTCGACTGACTGTATCCTAGGAACGGAATCGAATCTTTTTTCAAGTCCTTGGATGACTAGATAAGCTAGTCCACTTGGCCAATTCACTGTAATGGCCGCAAAGATAAGTCCGAACAACATTTCACTGGTGAGGGACACTTATCCAAAAGGGGAAGTGGGACTGTTGGAAAAAAATTGCACGTTGGGTCAAAGCCAATTCCGAATGTGTGGATACGTATTTCGTCTCCATGAGACGACGCACCTTTTGGTTACCCCCTCAGTTGCACTCTGAAATTGATTGGCTCGCGTTTACTGTGTAAATTAGTGTACCCGCACTTCAGTTGCAGAATCAACGGTCATGTGCTTCGAAAGATTTAGATCGATTCGTGGATAAAAAGAACCGTTGAAGTTACTAAGGTTAAGGCTAAAGTCCATTATTGAAGGCGCAGCGCTGACTTCTCTCCCTCATTGAATTCCTATGATAAACAGGAGAGAATTCCGAGCTTGGCCGTCAACAGGCGAGTTGTTTTAATTATTCGAGTCGATCGTTTGCACCTCTATTATCTCTGTTATCCAAGCCTCACTCAAGCCGGTTGACTCTGGTACAGATTCGAAAGCCATCCCCATTGAAATTGTACCATTTTGGGATGGCAGTCAGTTCTCGGCCCATGACGGCCAAGTTGGTGCAATTTGAAAAACAATGGTAAGTCTCCGGTCGTCTGCAGTTGAGCACAGAAAACAAAACTCATATGTATTTGTTGTTTTCTCTGCTGTACTGCTGACGGCCGATGAATTACCATTGTCGCGGTCCAACGAACGATTGATCGCTCCGGATAACATGAGGAAGAAGAGGCTACCGCTACGGAGGTATGTGTACGGAGGAAACTGTTAACTCCAGCCCTACCAACAGCCTGAACGGATTGTCGTCGAGTCATTGAATGGCAACAGCCATCAAGCGAAGGAGGCTACACGACAACACACAAGCACAGTGGAGAGTGGATCCTCCGACTGGATTCATCCCTCCTTGTTATTTCCTAGTGGTTTGGTGATGATTTCTGTGTCGATATCCATTTTCCTGTGGGAACAGTGCTCGTGGCGCCTGGCTTGATACTATTCCTGTACTCATTGTATTGGTGAGGTAATGGAGCGTAGTGAGCAAAGCCGAAGCTGAGTGTGTTCGGTACTGTTGCCGATGTAACTATACGGTAGCTAGCTGCGATGGCTGGATTGACAATGTTCGGTTGTGCATATATTCGTCATAGGGATCCAATGCAAGGTACCGGTAACGGAGTGTAGCCAGTAAAGCGGAACCTGAGTGTGTTTGGTACTATTGCCACTGTCACGGATTGATGTAACTCTACGGTAACTGGCTACAATGGCTGGATTGACAATAATCGGTTGTGCATGTATTCGTCATAAGGATCCAATGCGAGGTACCAGTAACCGTAACGAGCAAAGCCGAACTTTTGGTACTGTTGCCACTATCGTCGATGTAGATATACCGCAGTCGGCTACAATGGCTGGATTCATAATGTTCGGTTGTGCAGGTATTCGTCTAAAGGATACAATGCAAGATACCGGCAACGGAGTGTAGCGAGCAAAGCCGAAGCTGAGTGTGTTCGGTACTGTTGCCGATGTAACTATACGGTAGCTAGCTACGATGGCTGGATTGACAATGTTCAGTTGTGCATGTATTCGTGATAAGGATCCAATGCAAGGTACCGGTAATGGAGTGTAGCCAGTAAAGTCGAATCTGAGTGTGTTCGGTACTGGTGCCACTGTCACCAATTGATGTAACTCTACGGTTACTGGCTACAATGGCTGGATTGACAATATTCGGTTGTGCATGTATTCGTCATAAGGATCCAATGCGAGGTACCAGTAACCGTAGCGAGCAAAGCCGAACTTTTGGTACTGTTGCCACTATCGTCGATGTAGATATACTGCAGTCGGCTACAATGGCTAATTTCATAATGTTCGGTTGTGCATGTATTCGTCATAAGGATCCAATGCAAGATACCGGCAACGGAGTGTAGCCAGCAAAGCGGAACCTGAGTGTGTTCGGTACTGTTGACACTGTCGCTGATGCAATACACGGCTCTTAGCCTTATTCGCGACTCGATCCTAGATAGGGTTTGAGTTCGACTCATGACTGAGGAGTCTCGTGAATAGTCATTTGAGACAGGGTTCTCAATGACTCGCTAGTCATACTAGGTTGATGATGAAACATCGCTCTAGATATTTAGCCAGCGTGGAGTACTTCCACGCTACTAGATCCATGCTAGACGAATCTTCCACGCGTTCCGTTTTAGGATCGTGGAGATACGTAGGATTACTACCGCAACCTACTCTCTCACACTTTATAGTCTCCCGAGGGAGACCAGATCTACGATCCCTTGATGATGATCTCTCTCGTTGATTAGTTTTCATAGCTTTCTAATCTCTCTCATAACTTTCATTCTCTCAAACTCAAAACACTCGAAAGATCTTTACACTAGCTTTTAGCGTAGTGCATTTTGTTAACAAACACAATAGCTTTCAGCTACCTCAACCTATTCCTTCACCATGAAGATGGCTCAAGGAAGCATGCGTTCAGCAACTTCGAGAAACAGTTGCGTGACAAACCCATTCTTCCTCTCGTCGACAATGACGAAGAAAACGAGATCGACGATACTCGTGCAACCACTTGCAAACTTCGCAACCATGTTGCCAAGCGCAAATCAGAAGACTCTGACAATGAGGACAACTCCTCTATCAATTTCAATCACTTGGATGGAGAAATCTCTATCTGAGGATTAGGCCAGGATGATGATTCAACGGAACCATGTTCCGATTTCTCATACCAAAGTGATGAAGATATCCCACTAACTAGTAAACAAGAATTGTTTGCAACCGATGAACTCTACGGCAAATTAGATGATTGCCTATGCAATACACGGCTCTTAGCCTTATTCGCGACTCGATCCTAGATAGGGTTTGAGTTCGACTCATGACTGAGTCTCTCGTGAATAGTCATTGAGACAGGGTTCTCATGACCGCTAGTCATACTAGGTCGATGGTGAAACATCGCGCTAGATATTGAGCTGGCGTGGAGAGATTCCACGCTACTAGATAAATGCTAGACGAATCTTCCACGCGTTCCGTTTTTGGATCGTGGAACGAGTAGGATTACTACCACAACCTACTCTATCACACTTTACAGTCTCCGCGGGAGTTCAGATCTACGATCCCTTGATTGTGATCTCTCTCGTTGATTAGTTTTCATAGTCTTTCTAATCCTCTCATAACTTTCATTCTCTCAAACTCAAAACACTCGAAAGATCTTTACACTACTTTTAGCGTAGTGCATTTTGTTAACAACACAATAGCTTTCAGCTACCCTC